TTCATGGCAGAAACAGGAAACACAGAAAAAAAAGCTACAACCCTCTTGCTGCGTTGGCAAGGATTTTTATAGCACTGATGCCCTTAGAGGCTAAATATTTCAGTCTTGGCTGATCATGTCGTCACCCATAAAACAATACTCCCAAAAAGCTACATATTCAACTGATTGAACTGCAGCAATTAAGGTCGTTGAAGCCACAGGGTGTAAAATAAGAAAGCGGAGTGGGGAGATGTTTCAAACGTTTGACTTAATGGTGATTTGAGAAGGGGATAAAAGAAACATGAACCCCCCCCCAAAAAAAATGCACTTGGATGCACCAGGCTGCATGTGCATGCATTAACATGCAAGTCCCACAAACCCCTTGCCAATTCTTTTTCAACTTCTTGTGCCTTTGCTTTGAATTCATTATATACTGTCATGCTCCAACAAAAATGGGTTTCAAGTCTTCATGACAACACGGGATACAATACAAGCCTGAGAAGCTCCACATGGAATGTACAAGAAGCACATTACCGGATGTGTAAGGATTTTCCAAGGTTACATACATGTATTCACACCATAGTTTACTGTATGGTACACGATTTATCGGTATCGGCACAAATATGTTGAACCTGTATATAATAACTGATTACCATTGCCAACTGTCCCACTGCTTGGACTTGAGACTTCTTCCTAGGAAATGGCTGCTTCAGGAAAAACTTCCCAAATTGCCCTTGACATTGGAAGTCAAGGGATCTGGATAATCGTTTCCAGTAAGATTGTCAGTATGGGTAAACTGCAGAAATTGCTTTCAGGCACAGGTAACTTTAAAAAGACTTAATGCAGGGGTTCAACAAACATCCAACAAATTATCTCAACCTACATGTAGTCCTGCATTTTCCAATCAAGATCTGTATTTTTCTGAAACCCCACATGAAACCGCAGGGATGTCATCCATTTTCCTAATTTGGTTTGTGTTATTGGTTTTACATCAAGTTGTGGATGGTTCTTCATTTGAAAAAATATGCCACTTGGACTAAATTAAGGTATGTACGGGCACATAATGCAAACGTGCTGACAAGCACGTATGGTCATCATTCTAACACTTTAGACACACCAAATCAGTCTCACATTGTGGACATTTCCTTTGATGGCCATAAGAGGGCATTATGTGAACCTGGCACAGTCACAAACAAACTAAACTTGGCCTTGACAAGGCACTTGAAAGCACGCGGAAAGAAATGCAAACGCCGCACATCTCAAATCTCAATCTGAATATTGTCACACTCTCAACAAAAGTTTGAACACAACCTGCACACACAGACAAGTGCATTCCTTCAAAAACAATTCATCATCATGAATTATTATATAACTGCCACACAGATCCTTGTCATTTCACTGGTGGAACACGCATCACATGACATTCATTATTCGTGACATTTATTTTTCCTGCTATTCATGCTGCATCGGGTACTATTCACCCATGTGTGGTTGTAAAAAATTTACAATGGTTAGGATCATCCTTGTTTCCACGACATATGAATGGCCTCATCCCTCAAAAGGCAGCGCGAGCACAACACACAGCGCTAATCAAACCTGAGGAGAATAACATTTGGTCCGAAAAGTCATTGGGATTTGAAATCGTTCAAAGATAAATCAAATGACAATGATCTATATGGCAGTTATATAGAACAAATAATGAATGTTTTTTCACTCGTGCGATGGTTAGAAATCTTCGTGAGTTGAAAGATGGAATGTTCCATTCAACAAGGCGAATATTCTTACCATTGCACATTCTTTATTGGTATACTGATTAACAGACCAGTCAGTGGCAACTATTGGTACACGTAACTGCAGTAACATTAGCCCAAAGAAATTCCATCAAGAATATTTCTTTCCTAAGGCACAGTAGTAAACATGAAGGAACACAACATGATATTGACATTCATACAAGTACTACTCTTGCCACATACATGAGAACATGTACATGGGTGTACGCTTGAACCGTATCAGCCTTCGTACACAGACATAGATCTGTCTGTAACACACAAATGCACACAAACAGTTTGCATAATTTATACTACAAAGTACATGTGTAATCGTCGCATGTATATTTTATACCGAGTTTCATAGACATTAATTAAAGCGAGGCAGACTGAATGTTTCTATCTCATAAATATTCGGAAAATTCTTATCTCTGGCAAGGGTGAGACCTACTGCAAAGCTTGTAAACACAAACGCATGTATTTTACTCACACAATACTACATGTATCAAAGCGTTTATAGGGGCATAGTATCTCACAGTATCTGTAATTCAAAGGGGCTGGTATATTAACATGAACATGTATATATATATCCACAGTACCTGCATGATACGTTCTTACTTCTGTGCAAGGTATGTGTAGTTGGCACTGCAATGTACATGTACATGTATCCTGTATTGTGAACTGCACCATAGACTTCTGTACCATGCTTTTGGGAATGTTTCCATGTATCATACACACAAATGCATATGATGCACTAAGTTGTCTGCTTTGAATTGTTACAACATTGCACTCGGTTCTCAAATCTGTTGCACAAACTTCAGAAATTGCACCTTTTGTAGACTGCTTCCCTATTTTGCCCAAATAAACAACCACGATCTCAGTTCATGCCGATATGTGCTTCTTATCCAATGTCTCGCATAATGAGACTGCCGAGTATCGCCTAGACATTTTGACCTGCTTGGCTAATTCTACCTGCTATCAAGCGTGCATACTTCAGAGGGCAATTTCCATTTGTTTGAATCAACCAAGGGAGGCAGGGGCAAAACTGGGTACATTCCAGCCCGTATCAGAACACTGCCATCATTTGATTACCATTAAGTGGGTAACATTACGGGGAGTGGGGCGGATTGCAGCGCGGCGCACCGCTACCGCTAGCCAATAAAAGAATGCTCCAACAGGGTATAAAGTATTGGCAATGCGTCCGTCCCCTTTTCTTGTAAGTCAAACCAGTTCAGGAGCTGGAAACCATGTCTTCATGTCTCAGGCTGGGGGGGGGGCTTGCAAATACTGTACACAGCATAGCATGGTGGTCATGTGCAAACTACACTCGTATCTAAAATACCAGTGCCATAGATGTATCTGGCAACTGGGGTGCACTCACTTGGCTGACAATACTCTCCTCTTGATCCACTGGGATATTCAACCCTTGTCTGGAGGTTTCAACTCTGCTAGTTGCAAAAGTAATACAAGAACCCTGCCAAGGTACATGTTGTATTTGACGACGTCATCATTAATTTTATACAACAAATTCTTAACAACGGTGTGGTAAGAATGTAAAAAAGGATATATGTTTGATATATTCAGGATAGTACAATGTACAAAGTACATATGCAGAACAGGCTATGATCTTGGATGCACACATGATGTGCATTCATATGCGTCTGCAAAATGTTCCTTCAGTTTTGTCTTCAAGCACAAGTACATGTACACGCTATTTTGATGGTCCTTTTACATGCTTTTCACAGGAAAGAAGAGTTACTTAACAACTTCGAACACAATGCACTTGTTACAAAGGATCTCTGATGGAGCTGAAAGGATAGATGACATTTCAGATGGGGGTGGCTGTGTTAAATGCCCCAACTTTGTCACATCCCACCAAATGAAGAGGAACAGCCACTGCCCCTGTAACCAAAATCCATGCGGAGAGAAGTACCCCTCTCCATCTTCTAGGTAAAATGAAGGCGCGACACTCGGGATTACAATTTCTAAGGAAAAACTTTATCTACAAATTCATGCACCCCCCCCAAAAAATGACCAAGGTCACATCAAACTGACTACATTTATAACATATGCAGGGACTATTTTTATACGGAATGCTTGAAGTCAACTATTTTTTTTCAGATTTAAAAACACCTCATTCAAATTAACATTAATGCTAATTTGTCACCCATACTTGTCTGTATCTTTTTTTCCAATGACTATTTTCTGGACAAGTTACAAGTGCTTGTTTTGACAAAAAAAAAAAGCTTAGGCCAAACACTGTCAAAAACTGAGAAGCCAGAGGGCCTACATGGAGTTGAAATCTTTCAAACTTCAACTTGGGAAACTGAACTGAAGTTGTGTGCATGCATCATTTCCACTCTTGTGGTGACAATATTTTTTTTATCTCACTCAGTGACTTTGTATTGAAACTCATCAAGCTCAAAAGTTTAAAACCTGCACATAAAAAACTAAAAGAAATGCACAAACTTGAAAAATGACAACCAAAGACTACTTCAGATGCAGGATGACAAAATCCCAGATACACACTTGTACAAACCCCGGGAAACACCCCAGCGCCTGTCCACATACTATAGCGCTACTGACGTAACACAAAGTTTAGGGAACTCATGCTGATCACAGAGCACTTTCCTTACGCCTACCCACGTGTACCGACCGGCATTTAAAACACGATTTGATAAAGATCTCCGTCCCATTCCTTCAAGTTTGTCCTGTAATACAGTTGAATGCGACTAACTTTGATCATCGTCTATGGACTTTACAGATTTTCTGAAGAACTGAATGATTTTTGGTCCAGAAGAAACACAGAGATTACCCAAAGCTAGGGCCGGGGGAACCCCTCCAGTACGAGTCATTCGAATGTGTAGTTACTTCAGCTCACTCCTAGGGAGAATTTACTCACTCATGAACAAAAACATGTCCCACTTCTTCCGCATTGGAGAGGAGATACAACTTTATATCTTATAAAGAAAATATTTCATACATCATGTACCGGACTGTAAAACATATCACCATTTACGCCCCACAAACAACAGGATTGTGACAACATTTCATGGGACACGCTTTGCAATCTCATAAATGCAAGGATACTAGCTCTCTCGCTCGTGAGTGGTGCTTCCCACGAGATGGCGCGATTTCGGCGTGAAAATTGAACCGATTGTACGTGAAATACGAAGTTCTGGCTCAGTTTTCAATAGGAATCCACTCCACAAATCCAAACATTGCAATATTGCAGGTTTATTAAGAATAACTTACCGGCTACAAGATAATTTCAGTAAACGGATTATAGTGACCTCTCGCGCAGCTGATGAAAGCCGTGTGAAGCAGCCTATTCAAAATGCTCCGGCCAATGGCGAGTAGCCCGTGCGCACACGCCTGCACGCCGCCGACGTACAAATCCTCCTTGGCTCGGGCACTTTCCAGTTTACAAAAATCTCGAAATTACACAATTTCCATATGGAAATAATGTTTCCACTTCACTTCAGCTACCTCTACGACACATTAGGCCCCTGAAGGATTGTCAAGTAACTACGTGTGGGCACTGTATTGTCCGAACGGGCCCAATTTCCGTAAAAAATGGCGAAGGTTCAAATGGCTGTTTACCGTAGGGGTAGCCCGGTCTGTGTTCAGGGCTAAACACAACAATTTGTTTACAGATAAACAACCTCCTCCTACATATCCGGCGGTACGACACGTGACATGCCACCTGGCCAATAGAGTGTGGCCGGCTTATATACATCATACCTGTTCACATGACAACTGCTTAGATGCATATGTGAAGAATGTTGCCATTCATGTAAATCTCCCTAGTGGACAAAATACACAAATTTTGTATACTCATTTATCTTTGTGTCACGTGACATCGTTTTCTTACAACTTTTTTACATAAAGTTGACATCCTGTCATCGTCACTGATTGTCATTTTGTATTTTTTTTAAAGATTGTTATTGAAAATCGATAACATATTTCACATAGATAGTATATTAGTACTGATCAAGCCGTCAATATCGATATTATTTTCGCTTTTTGGGCTCTTTGGCAGTGTATCACACCTCAGTTTTCTACTCCGAGTAGCAAATGGCACAGTGACACGACATAGCAAATGAAAAGGAAATGTGTTAATTCTTTTGATGAAGTTTTTGAAAGAGGTTAATCTGTATAGTTTCATTTTTTACTCACCCAATTTAATCGGAACACTTTCAAGTTAAAAATCCAGTGCTTCTTCAGACAACTCCATAATACAAAAAAGTTACAAGTTATTAATCCATGAACTAAACGATCAAGTATTTATTGGTGTTCAATAGTATAGTTGCAACTCCAACTCAGTGCTTCAACAGTGTCCCTATTACTTTGAAGCAAGAGAGTGCACATTACTACAGCCTGTACACTGCAGGAACTCTAAGTATTATGTTGGACGAGTTATATAAAGGTCTATCTATACACGGGTATTTTTTTAAACCCATTTAGGACTGAATCCTGTGATTTCAATATGATTTAACTCATACCCTGGGATGGATTAATCTCCAGTTTCGGTCATCTGTTTGATGCTTCACTTTTAACAAGTTTCTTTTTCGCAGATTAATCTGCTTCTTCACTTTTGGGGAACTTTAAATGCTGATTATAAATGAGGAAACGCATGATTTTTTAAGCATCTTTACATCTGAGCAACTTTCCCAGAGAACCGGGCGGCCTATCGTTGTTTCTAATTCTATCTTTCATTTATTCATTTCTTATACCTTATTTCATCACCTGCTCTTCAAGTGTGTAATTGACATACGCTTTTTAGTCTTCTTTTTAACTGATGTTATCGGTAAAAATTGCAACAGCCATTAAAATGTGATTGAATTTCGGAGGAAAAACTCAAGGGAGAAAGTGTTAAGAATAAAAGACTCTTGACAGTGTGGAAGTAATTAAACCTGTTTTATGTTTTACGTTTAAGTTCTTTGTATGTTAATGCTTATTGATTTGTAATTAATTGATCATTTTGTTATCGATTTTACTTTTCTCACAGTGTGTATTTTTATAACCTTGAGACCAAGCATGATCTTCAGAGAGCTGCACAGAACTGTTAACTGTGTACACATCTCTGCAAAACTCTGTGTGCACGACAACAGAAGATGGTGACGACTAGACTACTGGCATCCCGGCCGCCATGATGTTTTTCTGTAACTGGTGCTATTTTTTTCGAAGGCGTCATGCGTCACTGAGATAGTGGAGTCACGTGAGCTGTGACGGCGCATTTACCCATTGCCGCGTCCGGTCACACCCCGCCTTTCCACATCATCACATGCAAATGAATCACGTGACGTACATGGCCGTTCGTCCCCGCTTCTTTCTCTCTCGAGCCCTTTGGCCTTTTGTGCATGAAGTCAATACCAAGTCACGTGACAGCCGTATCGGTAAAATGTATCATAGGAGTATGGATACAAAATCAACGACCGCCGCCTGAGCGTGCTTATGCAACGCAAGAACCGTCAGTTCCATCAACAGCCGTGACGCATATCTGAAAGTGGCCGCTTTCCAGATTGAGATTGGCACAATTACGACACGATTCCAATTCAGTGTCGATGATGCAACCTTATACCAAATCAGAACTTAGTGAGTGAGAATGTCATTCATGACGGAATACTACCTTTGTAACTGTGATAGCCCATCCACACGAGGGCGGGAAAGAATGAAAAGAAAATTACTGACAATTAACATTGGCATGTCTCTTAAGAAATAGACATGAAGCTTAGACAGATGGCAACAGCATGAAAAGAGCAAACAAACTCTAATCAGAGGTTGGTGAGCTGATAATCATTGGGCGAAAGGAAAAGATGTGCAACATTTTTGCACCCGCCCCCATGAAGTAACTTATTTGCATCCAGTCACATTTTATGTTCAAAAATACCGTCAGACCCCAAAATAAAGGCCAGTATTTTAGGCAGACCCTGAAGCAATGCATTGCTTTGCTATCTTCCGTAGATAATTTCTTTGTGCAATTCCAGCAAGGTTGCGGTCACTGTCTTTGTGAAAGCTTCTTCGTGCCGATTTTATAAAACTAGCCGGTAATCTGCAGATCTTCGCAGTTGGGTTGTCAAACGGATCGTCCAACTATCGTTACTAGTGATGAGTGTCACGATCAATCAGGTCTTTCTCCAGACGCGCACCGCGGCACGGGATTGGTGTAAATGAAGGCCTAAATATCAAGTCACAGGGGAAAATAATAAAATTCCAATTCTCTCATAAATATAAAACCTTTTCACTTTTCAATTTTTTAATGTTTATCACACTCGGAGTTTGATCAAACATACTGCTGGATGAGTCTCTAGTTTGGTATTTTCATCTTGATAAATAGCCTTGGTGTGCCATTGTGGGCCATTTGTGTAATCTGCGGTAAAAAAAAATAGCGCTGTTAGATCTACGTATGACCTGATATAAAATATTCCCAACTTGATTTGTAAATAATCATGTTTACTGAATTAACGTGCAACGCGCGTGGTTAACTTTCTTACACCCACCGAGTGGCAAGGGCGGGTCTGACCGTCTTTTTTTTCTTCGAAAATTCCATCTCGTCAAAGGCTTATTTCAACATCATTCGATCAAGAAATCAATCCGTTCAGGAACATCTTTACAGTCGGTTGTGGGTCTAGTGCACAAATCTTTAACTGAGTTTGAGCCAAAGGTAACTACTTTTTCATAAATTTACCTGAAAAATTCCTTCCAAGGCAGAAATTCGAAATTCTGAATCATGCAAGTAGGCCTATTGGTATCCGTTTTCCTTTACTCAAAAGGCCGCCAGGTCTACGCCCGTTATGCAGACAAGGAGAAGGCGCGAAATGTACATGTACTTTTGAAACACAATTCTCCGAGTCCTTGACGATTCCCCAACTTTCAGACTAGTTCTGCCGTCGAGGCCCCTGTACACATTGTGAACGATTCCTCATTAGCAGGAGAAACGGGGTCAGTTTCGCCTTGATTTCATGCCAGCTGTTGTATGCAAATCATGTCGTCTGTGGTCAACCATGGGGTCAACGAAGTATGCATGGTGGTCTGTATCGCATACTGTACATGCAACTTGAACGCCGCGCAAGAGCGTGTAAACATGAACATAGAGTGTGAAATGTTTTGAATTTGAAATTCCCTCAACGGAACCCCTACGTTCGGCGCTTGAAACATTCTATTGCACAATGAAATTTTTATAGCTCGATACCAGTGGAATATTGTCACCTATATCATGGAGTCCTCCCTCCATGCCCATATAATACACAAATGATACGCTCGATTCACTTAGCGCGGTGTGTTCATAGAACTACTTGAATCACCCAATCTGCCCCTAGATTGAGGTCAAAAAGCATGGGTGAACTGTGTAGGTCTATGCATATGGGACACAGGTGTTGTGGATATCGTTTGAATTTGGATGTTACGGTGAAATCCCTTCTGTTTCGTCATGGTGTCCAAGGATCTGTGCCGCACTGCGCCATACGCAATACACATGTACGACCGGTACGGCGAGTCCGTCTCTCAGTAGTCCAACTTGCGTACGTGTAGAATTATACTACACCTGTCAGAACGAGCAACTTGGACCTGAGCGTCACGAAGGGGGAGGGACAGTCATGTGCA